TATTGCCAAAACAAAAATTACAATATACGGTAAAAACGCTTAATTGAAGGCCTAAAAGGCGGAATCTGCCCAAAATCTGACGTGCTTCAGGGCCAAAGGCCTTGAGTTGTGATCATTGGCCTATTTTCAATCTAATTAGATTAGCAATTCACCAAAAACGGACAAACTCGAAATTAAATGGAATTATTATTTTACATTCATCACTAGTCATTAGGTTGGTTTTTTTCATTTGACTTATTGGTGACTTTTCATGAAAAATCATATCATTTCATGAAAGTTTGGCACTGATTCGTGAAGTATATATAGATGAAAAAGTAGAAATATGTGATAGTTTTTCCATTTCTAAAACATTAAATCAATCTCATACCATACTTGAGTGCATAAAAAATCAGATTTTCTTTCTTCTTCTTTCAAAGAAAATTTCCAGAATTTTTCTTTTGTGTTCATGTTCTTTAAAAAAGTTTTCACTCTATTGCTTTGTGCAAAATTTTTAAAGGTTTGTCATATTCTCTAAACTATTTGTTGAAAATCCTAAAAGCAATTTGTGTGGAGGTAAATATCACTTTTAAGATAGCGTATTTTATACGTGTTTGAGGCATTGTTTTAGGTACTCTTCAGTATTTGGTTCGTGTTTCCATTCTCCAAATTCCCCTTTTCATATTTTTCATTAACTTCTAATTAGCCATGGATTAACGGATGACTCTACTTGGGCCTAGTGGTGGCAAAAAAGCTCGTCGGCTCGGATGGCTTGGGCTCGGGCTGGCCCCCGCCCGTGATTAATTAAAAAAAAAATTTAAAAATAATTTTTTAAAAAGCTAAAATAGCTTTAAAAAATTTAAAAATAAAAAATAAAAAATCGAGCCAGCTCAGGCTGAGCCTTATTTTTTTTTTTTTTTTTGCCAGACTCGGCTCGTGCCCGAAAAAAGCTCGAGCCAAGCCCGAGCTTTTTTTTTCGGCTCGGCTCGGCTCGGCTAGTTGACATAGCTACTTGGGCCGACACTCATGAAGACAACCATTAAGCTAAGTTGATAAAGTGATGTGCACAAGAATTGCATGAACCTCAATGCTTTGGAAGAAGTTAGGAGAGTTCCTTTACAACGAATATGCTTTAAGAGGATAGTATATTGCACATCAGCATGCAAATAAGATAGAAGATGTACATCTCAAATAGGCGAGTGCCTTGGCATCGAGTGTAACACATGGATACACTCAAGTGTTCATGTGCTAGTAAACTTTGTTGGAAAAAAAATATGCAACTGGTCATGTCTAGACTCATGATGAAATTTGACGGAAGGTAGTTGAAAGTAGTGAGACAAGGTGCAAAAAATAGTCTTGCTATGCGACTTAGAGAGTCGACCAGTGTCACAAAGTCTTGTGCTTCATCAAGTAAATGGATTATTAAGTAAGGCTGTGTTTAATTCTCATTATTCCAACATTATAATGAGAATTTGATTTTGTAATAGTAATTTATTTTGGAGGATGTGTGGTTAAAAAAAGAAGGAAAAGTTTTAAATTTACGTGTAATATTATTTTATTCGAGAATATGTGTTTGATAAGAAGAGAAAGAAAAAATAAATTATAATTTAGTGGAGGCCAAACAGAGGCTAAGTATTGACCTAAAGGCATGTTGGTATTATAAGACATTCGATTGTAGATTCAAATACGCCTTGGATAATTTTCTTATTGTGGAATGTTTGCAGATACTTGGCAAGCTCAAGACTTTTGTCTCATATATTGTAGTTGGGTTAATACCATTTTGTTAGGTCCAAATTTGTAATTAGCAATTTCTAAATTTATAAATGTCAATTTTCATATTCAAAATCATAAGTTTTTGAGTTGTATTTAAAATCAAAATAATTGCGAGTTGTTAGTATAGTCCTTGAACGAGTTAATGATATCAATATAGACCAAGGATAAAAAGTTGACGCAAAACCGTTCACCGATCTCGCGTTGAGAGCTCTAGCTCTCAAAGCAGAAATGCAGCCATTCGTCTGACGCTCGAGCGGCGAACTAACCGCTTGTTAGGTGCAAGGCTCAGTGCTTGAGCGACGTAGTATCTGGGAAAATTTTATTCACGATTTTTAGCCTTTTTTCTAATCCTACTCAACCTCAAACTCTTCATATTATAAATACTCAAGCCTAGTCCATCCCAAATGTGTGTTGAATCATAATTTTAAATTAGAAATCACATTGTTGAAGATCCAAAACATAATCCATGGATTTCTTGATTCAACCTCAAGATCATTGATTCATAAATTCATTACAAACATATTATTATTGGTTGAGCCTTACATTTAGTCAAGAGAACATTCTTTGAAGATCAAATATATGTTCATATATTTCTTTTCTCAACCACATATCAAAACATAGAAAGATCCTTGATCAAACATGAAAACCCCACCTTCGCTTATAAGCCTTCAGAGTTCTGAAGTTGGGAGAAGAGGCTCTTGGAGTTATAGTGCTTCGAAACAAGTTAGTTTTTGGTGATCTACAACAAAATGAGTTCCTTGGTGATTTACAACTTAGGTGGTCAGAGTCAATTAAGGTTTAGCGGTATCGGAACTAATTGTAAGTTAACATTTCTAGTTAATTTTATTAGCAAGTTTGCCCGGAGTTTTTTTTTTTAAATCTTGAGAAGGGATTTTCTTCTGTGATCATACTTGGTGTTATTTCCTTTATCGTGATTGTTTAATTTATTTTAAACTTAATAATCTAAAAACAATAATTAAGTGACTTGTTGTTTGTTATTGATTAATTCTGAACAATTTGGTCTAAATATTTTCCCAACAGATTGTCACCAAACCTTTTATCGAAAATTTATGTTCAATTTGTTCTTTTGTGGACAAAGAACTTACTATTAGACCTAAGCACACATCGATGATCGCAAGAATGAATGCACCTATCTCTACTATTTCTGGTCAAGAAATCAATCAACCTCGTTCACATAGCTTTTAAAATGCATCCCGGAGCGAGCGCCGACTATAGTGTTTCTTGCCGAGTCAAACTCTCCATTATGTGTGTGTGTGTGTGTATTCCCACACATTTCGGATGTCGGTTATTGGATTTCATCTTCCTCGTCTGACTAACCAATTACACATACTACCATTACAATATCTTACTTGATTGATCTCAGTGTTCTCTTTCCACGCTATGTCAAAAAAGATAAATGTGAGTATACGGAAATGATATCCCTTATTTTTTATTACCTTTCTTGCTCGTCTCTTGATTGAAATGGAAATGTATTTTGCTGCCTCGCTTTGATGTTGTTGCTTTAAGTTGGCGACAATTAATTTGACTTAATAATGTGATGAGATGGTCTAGTTATTTGCTAGTTAGACTCGCGTATTATTTCAGTAATCAAATTAACGGATATGGATGAAATCAGTAAGATTTAACAATTATTTAAATTTTGTGATCAATTCGAAAAACAAAATAAAATTGAGAGACCCACTTGAATGTTCAACATGAACTTTCATTGAAAGTTAAGCAACGTGCTTTGATTTTAATCATATGCAAATAGAGCATCTTATAAAGTTGAAATGAATTTGGATCCGAAGAGATTAAAGTTGAAATAAATTTGATACAATCCAAAGAGGTTAAATTCATTTCAACTTTAATCTTAATCTTACAAAAGAATTCTGTACACAAACGATGTTTCCATCAAATGTGTCAAAATATAGAGTTCTTTAACTTTCGTAGATAGATATATTATTTTTCTTGGTGTTATAGATACAATATCAACACCATAAAAAGCACAACACGGCATTAAATTAACCAAAAAAAAAAATTTAATCTCAAAATTTCTAAATGGACTACAATTTTGCAATCTAATTTTCAAAAATATTTATAAACAAACTTAATTCTTGAAAATCTCCATATTGACGTCAACATTGCGTCACTCCGATATCATCCATTTTCAGGTAGAAATGCAATTCTTCCGTGTTATTTCCCACGCAATGATGAATTACTGCCGCCTTTGACATGCTTATATTGAAAATACACTTTATTTGACTTTTTTTAAAGGCCCCAACTCTTTTTATTTAAAAAAAAAAAAAAAAAAAGAT